ACAATCAGTCCAAAGTGATGAATTTCAAACAGTTGCAAATGTTTGAAGGAATTTTTTAAGCGGATATTTTCCACCATGATACCCCAAAGAACTCGTGTTTGTTTTTACTTGAAATATTTTCTAAATTTACTCTCTTTTACTCGTCAAGCATGCAATAAATGGTCGCATTTCATCCATTCATCTCTGCCTCGAAGATGCGTATTCCATTTTGGGGCTTCAGAAGATGTGTCCCTTTTGTCGAAATTCTTTAGAAGAAAAAAATAAATAAATATGAAATGCCATAATCGTGTGTCAGTGATGAATCATTAAAAACTGTAAACGAATGCATTAAAAAAACTGTCAAGACATCAAAGTCGTTTCCGTTGTCGTCGTCGATGTGTGTCGTATGTATGTGTATAGCAGTTGTTAAAAAGATGCTGCTTGCATCTCTCTCCCGGTTGCCTTTCGAAAAATTTAATGCTTCTACCTAAATCTAAGCGCGGGAAGGGAATTTAAATGGTTTCGAGGATGAATTGTAAAGCCCATCGTTGGGAAAAGTGATAAAAAAAGCTCACGAGGCATGAAACCAAATACACAAGACTTGCTCATGGACGAGAGAAGCACTTCTTTTTTGTTCTTTTCTTTTATGAATAATATAAATGTTAGTACGAGGCAAACGGAATTTACTTTGATGCGTGTTGCGTTTATTCGAATGTAAATCACGCATTTTTTTCGCATTTCTCTCTCACTCTTTGCTCCGCACACACAATCTTCAAAGAGGCAAGTGAACGCTCGTGTACACTGTACACACAACAGCACGAGGTGGCGTCACTGGCAAAAAATAACAAGTAGTAAACCGACCGATACAAAAGAAATGTATAAAATATTAATAAATTATTAAAAATGGGTTTCAGCTGTTGTGTTTGAGATTCGACAGCGAGCGAGCGTGCGTTCTCACTCACTTACTCAATCTATATCCATTGTAATCTCAGTGAATGAGCTTAAAAAATTTAATCTTAATGGCGTTATTGTAATAAGTTTGCCATTATTCTCGGCGTCGAATGGTGTAGCACACTTCAATGTATATTGTAAGTGCACGCTCGCTATTCTCGGTAATTCGGTCCGTAATTTGGTTGTAATTGAAAATATTTTGCCTTTGATCCGTTTAGCCTAAAAATATTACGTATTTCATGCGGATTATCCCAGCGGAAACAATGTTCCGAATTGTTTTGTGTCGAAATATTAAATTTTTCGTCGGAAATTATGACAACAAGCCCATCACATGGTTTTTATTCGGCAAGCATAAACATTGCCGCACCAATTATAATGAAAATGCTTGATATTCTCGGAGTAAAAAAAAGAAAAATAGCTACAACCATATTTATAGTAGATTTAATGCAGTTTAAATCAGTAGTACGCTTGTTAAATTTCGACAAATGAGATTAATCGTAGCAACTGGATGCCTTAGCAAGTCTGATTTTTAGATTTGTGTGTTTTGGATACACACTTATTCCTCGGTTTGAGCCAACAATTGTTGGCATAAATAAAGAAAAATCCGACTTTTTTCTCTCGCTCCTAAACCGGAGCAATTGAATTACGAAAATATTTCAATGCAAAGATATACGGTCATGAGAACATGGTTCTAAGTACTATATTGCTCTTGTTCCACCCAAATATATACACAACCAATTTGCTGTACGCTTTTCTGCTATGACAATGGCATAGAATTACTTGGTTTATCCGAGCCGTACTTTACTGCGAGTGAGTCTCACACATACACACAGCATGATACATTGCTGAATTATCTTCGGTTTTAACCCGATTCCGACAAGGGTTCACTGTGTATCACAATGGCAATTTCTGGCACAGTGCCCGTAACAAATCATAAAATAGTTTTGCAAAATATTCTCTAATGCTCTTCTTTATGTAGTGTGTTACACGGACACAAAATATGATTATCATATATTTTGCTTTCAGCAAAGAGGCAAAGAAAATTAGTGTTCGTCGAATGTTTTGACTTATATTGTTTATGTTTCGACGATTGAAGACGTTCTCGTTTTTTTCTCCTCTCGACACAATAAACAATATTTAATTAATCAAGCAAAATTCGAAGCAGTGAATATTTTCGACTTGCACACAATGCAGCTAAAAGCAGTGACTTTCTATTGATTTCATGGCAAAAACATGCTGTGCACACACAGTTGGTTCGCGTTGAAAGAAAAGACATTGAAACGAAAATTATCCAAAAGTTATTTCAGGAATGAGCAAATAGCTTTTAGTTTTGATATGTTGCAAGAGCAGCTCAATTCCATAAAAATCCATGATTTTCGCTTTTTCGCGCATCACAGATTTTTGTTTCCAAATTCAACATTTGTGCTTCACGCCATTAAGAATGTGAAGAGTGATGCTAAACAAACGGACTTTTTCCTCGTTGCTTTCTTCCTCTTTAAGCTCTGGCGCTCGCCCTGGATTTTTTCCCCTTTCATTCTGAATTTTCGAATCACTGATTGCCACATATCAATAGGGTAGAAGCATAGCGAAAAATGTGTGTGTTTGTGTTATTTTTGGAGTGTCAGTTAACGAGTAACCATTGAGCGAGAGAGAAAAAAAAATTGGTTCAGCAGTACTCGAATAGTCAATGGGAGATTTAACGTGTTGCAAAACAAGAAAAACAACCATGAAACGGCAAGAAAACCAACTTAACTTAGGAAAAATTCCATCGAAACACAAATGTCGATATGTGTGCACTTTTACTCAATGAGCACCAATCAAACCGCAACAATTACATAAATCTTTGTGCACCGGCTTCGTATTCCTCGCACAATTCTTCTTCATTTTGTTTTTTGTTGTTCTTTCGCATTCATTTTTTTTCTGCTCGTTTCGCCAGTTCTCCCTCTATCACACTCGAATGCATTGAAACATCCGTGTGTAGTATACGTTTATGTGTTGACCTGAAATGGGTACGGGAAAAAGGAACAATGTGCCATCGAAAATGGTGGAATACATATATCGATTCGGTTTCTACTCTAGTGAACATTGTCCGGGATTTCAAGTGTGTGAGAAAGAATAGAGAGTGTGCAATGTAAGCCACAACCGCATACCGGCAGATGTATCGAGAATGAACGATTTCGCATGAATTCACTATTTGTTGCATTTTTTTCTTCTCCCATTTATTTTGGTGTATGTGTTTGAAAACACACTTTTTTATCATTTCCGCGTCGAAATGCATTGTCTGGGTGGTATTTTTTTGTGCTTCGTTTCGACGATAACAATGATGCGAATAATGCTCAAGACTTAACACCAGGAAACGTGCAGAACAAAATACTTGGGATTTATGTCAAGAGTGTGAGCGAATCGTACCATTAAAGCAATGAATCTGGATAGCAAAGATTCCACATCCCAATAATCCATTCATTAGTTTACGTGCATTATTTTAGATTTTTTTTCTCTTCCTATCGATCCCTTCGACATCTCACTCGAACTATACTTGTATTTCTATCGAATTTTCGTTTCATTTACCAACGCCATATCGCGACTATTCATTTACATCCAATTGAACATACAATGTTCACCAAGTGGTGCCATTTCACAATAACCAAATGAGCATAGTTTCGAATGATTTTATAAATTGCAACGCTTCGATAAATATCAAATCAATTTTGCCCAGTGATTCAGTGCCGAGTGAGGTGACACTTCTGGCAACAGCAATAGCAGCAACAAAACAGCCCCGAGAACCAATTTAGTGGAAAACATTTCTGACATTCGATGGCTGCACAACAAGGTTTTTGTGTTGCCCAAGAGAGCGAAGATGGAGAGAGGGAGGGAGAGAGAATGTGAGAGTGGTGGAAAAGCGGAGAAACTCTCAAAAAGCGCGATAGTGCTTGTAAAACACTTCCAATTTATCATGGTGATTTATTGATTCGCAGCCTGGTTGAAGTATTTATTTGACCTCAACGGTTCACACATCTGTCACATAATTCAATAATTCGCCACAACTCAAGTTGAAAATTAAAAAAAATATATGTATCGAGAACGAAGAAGGAACGGATAAAAAAAAGTGCCCCAAATGGACGGGAGTAAAATGCGCAATAACACAAACACAACACTTGTTCGCTTGATTGGTTATGGCGCCCAGCGTGGTGTGCGCTGTGCTGAAATTGTCAAAGGAGTGCAAAGTCACACTAAATCTTATGCTTAACTCAAAGGGATATTGCAACTATTTTGACCAGAAAAAACGCCATCTTACGTCGTGCCCGTAAATTATTTCACTGTACATTTAGATGGTAGAGCTTGAACAAAAGTTCGAAACTATGCTTAAACTTGGAAATAGCTTGATAAACTTGATGAAATACATATATTTTATGGTCGTTGCAATACCCCTATGGCTTAACTAGATTTGTTGCTTGCATACACTTTTATAGCCTCGAGTCAATCCAATTTCTTTTCATTTCGTAATCTTAGCTGTTGAGCAAACACGCGGAGAAAAACGACTGATTTTGTTGCGAATAAAAAAAAAACGAAACGAAAACCCAAAATGAATGAAAACTAATATTTCACTTCTGTCTTTTTTTCTGCAGGCTCATGCTATTGACATTTGGCTGAAGTAGTTGAGAGCTGGAGAAAAACAGCTCGAACCGATCGAAGTGAGTGGGGACGAAACGGAACCGAGATATCAGGTAATAAAGCTAAAGCGATTTTTATTGAATGCATACCGAATGTGCAGAGAGAGAGAGAGAGAGATCAAATGAGCAATGAATTGAACTCACTTTTTTCCCTCTTCCGCTATACCGAATGATGAAGAGTCTGGCATAGAAATCAAATGGAATGGATTCTTTTCTCTCTCGTCATCGAGTTCATTCACGCACTGAGAAAAGGCTGGAAGGAAATATTCCAACCCTGCGTTGTAAATGTTGTCATTGCAGACGATTTTGTGAATTGTCCAACCATGGTTGGAATATTGACAGCATTCCCGCACTTGTCAAATTGACAACATTTACAACGTAGTGTTGGAATATTTCCTTCCAGTCTTTTCTCAGTGCGTGCATTGAATCCAAGCAAACAAATCGTTTCACTGAACAAAAATGTTCAAATATAAACGATTTGCATCGATCAATTTCGTGGATATTTCCACAAAGTTGAAAACATTTTTCAGTCCTTTCTTCGGTTTAAGTTGAAGTGAAAAGCCAAAAATTGGTACAGCTAATATTTGCAAAAGTTCTTTTTTCTCTTTTAAAAGACAATATTTGTGTTTACAATAAAAGCTTCTGAATTATCGGTTTTGCACAAAACTCAGGTAGAATAGACGTATCTATGACAACGAAACTACGTCAATCTCAAAGTCGAAATATGACGATGAACTTGATCGCAAAACTTGATGGTATCATGAACATTTTTCCGAGAATTTATACCAAAAATAAATTAGCACAATATTCATTGTAATAAAGAGAAGGGTGTCTGTATACGGTGTAATAAAGCAAATGGATATCGTCTAGCAGCCGTAATTTGACTGATTTCAGTAATATTCGCTCGAAATAATGGTTTATACACATATACACACCATTTTCTTCGTATCATCACCTTCTGGCCAGATCATTTATTTTGATCATGCAGGCAAGGCATTCCAATATAATTTCATAATGAATTAATCCGACACACATTTGGTGTGTGCACTTGTGCTTATATTCTTAGGCAAACGAGTGGGGCAGGGCACAGAGGAGTGCACGACTAATTCATTGCAATTTGATACACCTACCCGAAAAAGCATGGAAAGAAAATAGCATCGAAAACTTAATGCTTTACTGTGGTTTTGTTTGATGTGATTTATGTTGTGCTGCGGCGTGCTCTCTCTGTGTTTGCTGCACAGATGTTAACCAATATGCCCCATATATACATATTCGGTGTTGTTGTTCTCTATCGCCCCGTCTCCCGCTCTCAGTGTGCAGTGTGCACTGTGCACACTTCATGGCTGAAACAGTGAATTTACTCAACTCAAGCTCGACTCTGTGGTTAAAGTAATTTTCGGGCAAAAGCGAATATTCTCATGCACACACGCTAGCACGTCACACAATTATACACTGACATACAAACCAAAAATATTGCATTGGAACCAACTACGCTTCTACTTTTATCGCAGCACATACAATGCAATTTAATTGAACAAACTTTTACAGTTGTAACAAAAAAAGCCATTGGCAATTGCACTGACGCAGTGTGTACCAAAGTCATCGATGCCAATATTCGGATTTGCGGTCAAGTCATACAAGCGGAAAAGGAAAATATTGAATTTGAAAACGATTAATAAATAAAACCCAACACACACACAAAAGGCGATACTCAGAAGAAAATTGCAAACAATTGATCACAATAAACAATTGCTGAAATTGTTGTTTCGGGTTTTGTATGCGGACTCCCTCGGAACACTTTGATAAATTATCAGAAAACATCAAGCATTTCAATGCTGATGTTGGAAATGTTGTTTTATTTTCAAACATGGGAAAATTGTTTTTGAGGCAGTTTTTCTGTTTCATTTTGATGAGAATTCCTTTGATGGTTTCTGACAGAAAATTCGAGCCCCAAAATTCGAATCACAGGAATTTCATATATATTTTTACAGTGGATTCCATTGAAATCGTACCACATTGAATTAATTAAATACATTTGAAAAGTTGAAAGTTGCCCAAAGGCAAGCTGTGCCTTCAATCGCATGTGCGAAGAAATCAAAATGAGAAAAAAATAAATTTCAATTGAATCGCCCACTTATGTGTAGTGGACTGGATTTAATTTTACAAATTTCCGTTAAATCTTTTTTCGCGAAGTTGATATAAAAAATATTTGTACTTCATTTGAATTTCATGGCGACATTCGATTCTGCATCCTCTGAATAAATTTCCAATTCTATTTCGTCGACAAATTCGAAACGCGAAGGCAACATATCAGCATATTACGAGCTGACGTCCAATCCGAACACGGTGTTTATGCAGCTTTTATGTTTTCATCGAAACAGTAAAACCGTTTTTTTATTGATGGCATTAAATGCTCGACCAAATTAAGTTAAAGATGTGTGCAGTGGAATGCCATATTCTACTGTCATCGATGTGGATTATTTATGCGATTGTACTTAATTTGAAAAACCTTGTTGAGCAATACCGAGAAATGGCTATCCAAAACCATTAACATGGACTAATAACACCAGAGAGATGCTCAATGCCATTGTTTTTGTGTGTTTGTGTTAGAGTTTGGTTTTATAGTAACATTTTATAGCCAAGCTTAAAACGCCAAAAATGGTGCATTTAATTCACAAACTATGTATCGACTGATTTCCACACTTACATTTTCATGTGCAGCTCATAATAATTTGGAACAGCATTCAGCATCAAGAAATCTAATGGATTTGAATTGTTTGCTGTCCCGCAGCTCTGTGTCAATGTTAAGACTGTCCGAATGTTTCAATTTGAACAAGTTTTTTGTTCAATTTTGTTGACACAAAAACCACTTCAATTGAATTGCTTTTCAAATAAATGGCTAAAATGAATTGAAAGTGCAATTGATTGGGAATTTGCGAGTCATTTGCATTTTGACCGAGCCGGTCATTTGGAATGACATTATTTGTGCACTAGAAAAATCCATATTTCACTTGCCACACACAACAAAGTGTATAATTAGCATTTGATTGAGTGTGCATCCATCGTTGGCTCTCGCTCCCGTTGTGACCATTTTGCATACAAACTATTTTACCCAAAACTTTTTCATATTTATTTTTCGTACGCGTATTTTTCATCAAATTTGTTGGTTGCTCAATTTTTTTTCTTTGCTTCTGTTTCATGTCGAGCCTTTCATTTAGATTCGCAGCTGTTACAAAAATGTCGTTGTAATCGCATTAAATACCCTCCCTGCCATGTGTAAATAACTGCTCAATGACAATGACAAAATTTTGTCGAACAGCGACAAAAACATCGATGCGCTTAATTGCACGAGAATGCACATCGTGAAAACCTAAAAAAAACACATTCGAAATTGAAAAAAATGTCTGAATATGAGTTAAAGTACAGAAATGGATCAAACAAAAATGTGGTGGTATTGATACGATCTCTTGCTCAATTTTTTTTCCACCCGACAGATACAATGAATGCAATTTGTATTTTACCATCGTCATTTCGATAAATAAAAAAAATATCTGTTTTTTTTTCTCATTGAAAATTAGTTCATCAGGAACCCGAACAAGCGAATCAATTTGACAATATAAAAAGCAACAGCAGATGCAAACACAATATTCACTCCAATTTCAACGTCAATATAATTTGGACATGTGCATATATCGAAAATGAAATTCCATTCAGGCAATGCCTGAGAGGCATTGATGCTGCTGATTCGGGTTTGACTGTTTTTTTCTTTTCATTTACATCATTTCATGTCGCATGGTTTGTAGCTTGATACGGGTGAGAGAAGGAGAAAAAAAATCAAACCCTTCGGAAAAACGTTACTATAATCGTTATTGGAATTCAATCAGTGGCACAAAAGTTGCTGTAATCTTTTTAATATATGATGAATTACCGCCATGAGCACAAGATGAAGAACAAAATGGGTCAACGGTACCAAAAGGTAAACGATGCACGTGCGTTGAATCGATCAAATATCTATCGAACGTGTATATGCGATGAAAGCGATACATTTTCAGCTTCCTTCTGGCACATATCTATGGGTGAGATTGAGAGTAGTGTATGTTTGATTGACTTTGTTACGAAAGAGAAGAGCAAGTTTCTGTCGACTTAAAAATGGTTAAAAGCGAGTATGTTCGTTTTTAGCGGGTCCTCGCGGTTTTTCACGTTTCCGCGGAACTGATAAGAGATAACAACTTGGCGTCTTCGACAAAGTTGTAGCACTCGAGGTCTTCTATAACATCACTGAAGACAGTTATCTCTTATCTCTTATTAGTTCCGCGAAAAGCGCGAAAAATGATAAGAAAAAAAAAGTTCTATATAAAATTTGCTTTTTTATGTGCGCGATTTGCGCGCAACTGATAAGAGATAAGAGATAATTGTCTTCAGCTTAGTTATAGAAGACCTCAAGTATTACAACTTTGCCGAAGACACCATGTTGTTATCTTTTATCAGTTGCGCGAAAACCATGAAGACCGCGGAGGCTAGACGGTACTACAACATACTCTACTTTAACGCCAACAGAATCATCAGAAAACATACTCGCCTTTTCAAAAATATAAATCGAAGAAAAAACATACTCCACTCTCAATCTCACCCATAGATATATCATAAGCATAATAGCTTCAGGAAAGAGTCTATGTTTTCCGCATGAGTCTTTGGCAATTTTTTTGTTCACACCGAACCGAGTAAACTTCCTAAGGATATTTGTGTGAATGCCTGCACAAAACAATCTCAATGCATTTGTCTCCATTGTTCGTCATTTCGTCGGAGAATCGATTTTGCGCGAATCATCACAAAGAACTATTATAGGCAGAGTTTGACTTATCCGCCAGATATATGCTATGGCATAAAAAAAATATGCGCATATTTTTTGGTACATTTGGATTTTGTGACTAGCTTACCATGTAAATTCATATGGATATCACGAGTTTGGGACAAAAAATCGTGATATCCACATGAATTTACATGGTAAGTTAGTCACAAAATCCAAATGTACCAAAAAATATGCGCATATTTTT